TTAACATGCGACCTGTATCCGGATGTTGTCCACCTACAAATTGAAAAGTCAAGTGTAAACGCGCTTCTGATCGGAATGTTATCCGATCAGCGTGTCCTGGTCCAGAGGTAGTTGAGGACGCATTGTGATCGGATCTCAGTGTAATGTAAACGCATATCCAGCCATCGTGTCTGCATTCGCAGGTCGACATCACGCAAAACACCGCCCACTCTCTCGCGAACTGTCAGAAAAAAAGACGGAGAACACCCGTGTGGAGACTAGTGAGACTCCTACACTTATCTTTGATTTGTAAAATGTCCCGCGACTGAAAATGCTTTTCAAAAGAAAGCCCACCACTCCAGGTTAACTTTGCACCGGGCCATTCTCTGCAAACTTATTTAAATATTGCGCAGGAAAGACAGATCCGATCGGTTATCCAGATAGAAAAGTCAGTTGATGTTGCCAAGTGTAAACGCGCCGTGTTCTGATTGACTGATGATCCGATCTGCTTGATCAGATCACGGTGATCGCATGTTAATGCCAAGTGTAAACGCAGCCTTTAATTCAGCGCATGCAGCGGAAACGATCTCTGCACTGCTGCAGACGCACCGCTCCTGGAACGCACTGCTGGACCGCAACCGTGTGCAGTGGGCACGCTTTATTAATCCGTTAACATGAAAAAAATACGCACCACATACGTACTGCAAACGAAGTAATGTGTGTGTGCGCTGTGAGTGTGCATGAGCGCACGGTCTCCATCCAGGAGAGCGCGCGGGCGCTGAATGGTTAAGCACTGGCAAGAATTTAAAAAGTAATGCAATTATTAAACTTTAGTGATGATGTGACACTGCCTCCATTGTGCAAGTGACAATTCCTGTGTCAACTGTGCAGCGTGCAACTCGCTTATAGACAGACGCAATGTGTGGCGATTTAAATCCATTTGCATATTTTGAAAGAGAAAGTCTCACGCTGTTTGTGAAATTACGTCTCACACAAGGTTTTCAAATTACTTTATAAGTTATCTAATGAAGAAATATGAAGGCGAGTACCTTACCTGCAGCATTATAATTATTTTACCTGCGCCGGACAGAGACTGAGACAATGCCGCTGCATGTCGTGCCAAACCTCTCACGACAGCGTCATCAGCTTGCCAGCTGGAGTTTGTTTATTAAGCGTGCAGAGAAACCACCCAATAAAGCATTACAATAATCTAACCTTGAGGTCATGAACGCATGAATTAGGCCCTAGTACTGAGCCTTGAGGTACTCCCGAGTTGGGGTACTTGGACTCGGGACTCGGACTCGGACTGCAATTGTGAATGAACTTGGACTTGGACGGACTCGGGTGGACTCGGACTTGAATATTTTGGACGCAGAAATTTTTCAGAGTACAGACAAATCCATGTCATGTGTAATACAAAATTTTAAAAAAAAGTAACAACATAAAATTAATATAAAAATACATTAATAAACGTCTCCCATTTAAACTCAATTGATTAAAAACTAGGACTCAACAAGGTGGACTTGGACCCAACACTGAGGTACTCCATACTGCACTTGTGATCGATATGATACCTCTTCATTCACTGTCACGAATTGATGGCGGTCAGATAAGTACGATTTGAACCATGCTAATGCACTTCCACTAATGCCAACAAAGTTTTCTAGTCTGTGTGTGTGTGTGTGTCAAGTCAAGTCACCTTTATTTATATAGCGTTTTAACAATACAGATTGTCAAAGCAGCTTTACAGTATTAAATAGGACAATAGTGTGTCATCGTGTGTGTGTATGTTTGTGCTCACGTGACATGAGTGTGTGTGTGTGCTCACGTGACATCATGAGTTTGTGTGTGTGTGTGTGTGTGTGTGCTCCAGGGTTCCCACGGGTCATGGAATTTCTGGAACATCATGGAATTTTAAAAGGTCTATTCCAGACATTGAAAGTCAGGGAATTTTATATATTTTTTTGTCCAAGTCATGGAATATCAGGGATTTTTGTTTGTCAACTCCATTCAGTACTCGCGTACTGTGTTCTGTGTAAACAGTGTGCACAGACAGCCACGAGCCCTGAACAGAGTTTCTCTCAGTGTCTTTCTTGCGCCTGAATGGGCAAATACATACAAAAGTATAAAAATACCCGTCTTGGCAA